GTGGGTGGAGGAGGTGACAGTGCAGGGTCCCCCAGGTGCTGGCCAGGGGTCAGTGCTTTAGTGCCCTGGGCTGGGGCTTGCAGTGCAGTTGCCCTTTGAGGTAAGGACCATATCCTGAGGGAGGGCTGGGACCTCTAAGGGAAAGGGCATGATGTGCTGGGAGACTTGTATCCCTGGCTTGGGTACATGGCGAGGGCCTCCCTTGAGGTGTGTGCCAGTCCACAGCTGTCTGCATAGGCTTGATTGGCCTAGGGTGCCCAGGGCAGAAGCACCCCCCCCCTTCCCTAGTTCCAATGCTGGGTTGGAGAAGATGGGCCTGATGGGTCTTCTGAGGGGAGCTGTGGGCTAGGGCTGACCAGTGCTGCCCCTGGCACCAGCGTAGCTGTGGAAATGGAAGTCAGGAAGCAGCCAGGCAGAACTGACTTGAGGAACAGGGGAGAGACCTGCACTATGTGGCATCTTAGAAAAAAGTGGATACAGGCTCTTGCTACCTGTGCGGGCTTGGAAACTGGCCAGATGAATCCTTATCTCTTGCTGCTAGCTGCTGTTAACTTTTAGCTTTGACACTGTAAAGAGTCCTTATTTCATGCTTTCTTGGGGCCTGTTCTAAAGCTGAAGGACAAGGACCTGGGGCACAGTGTGCCTGCCTGACTCCCCACCTTAAGGGTGGAAGTGTCAGGATTGGTCTAGATCAAGCCTTTAATTTAGCACTGAGGGCATGCAGGCTTGTTCTGCTGCTCCTTGCATGAGCCTTGCAGCTCCTGGCTCATACCTGTGACTGAGCTGTTGCTTGGAGACAGTGGGTGAGGAACCAGAACTGGCAGAACAGGAGAGAAAACATCCTGAAACAGCTTTGCAGTTTTTGTAAAGCTGGCCTGTGTTCTTGGTAGACATTGAGCTTGCCCTTGTGTGCCAAAGTGTTGGCAGGGCTGTGTGGATTGGCTGTGTTGGGAGAGGTGGAGCCTTGCAAGGGCGTGGCTTGGAGTTGCAAGCAAACAAATATGCTAGAATCTTCTGTGTTAACTTGAACTCCCTGCAGCCCCTGCCTTAATCTCTCAAGGCAGGAAGAGCTTGCCTTGCTGTTTCCAAGCACCCTCAATTGCTATTGTGCCTCTGGGGCTGCTGTTAAGCATGTGTTTTCCTTCAGTTCAGGAATAGGAAGTCCATAGGCTCCTACATTCCCTGCCTTGATATGGGGAGGGGGAATGTTAACCCAAATGATACAATCAAACTTCACTGTATAAACTGATCTGTGTTTGAAAGGCTGGAAGCTCTGGATATCAGAACTCTTGGAGGTGACTCTACTTTCCCTTGTGATTAGAGGAAAGTACTTGCCAGGTCAAGATAAGACTTCTCTTCTGTGAGGCACCTCAGAACTGAAGGATGAGACAAAATGACAATGGTGGTGGGAACAGAGGCCAAAAGCTTGGATGGTTCTGGGGCTAGGGATCTAGAATCCTGGGGTAAGCACATGAGTGAAAGTGGAGACTGATAAACTAACAGCAGGTTTATTGCCTGTTTTTCAGGGCTAAAAGGAGGTGGCTCCAACATGGGAGGTGGTGCTAATGGCCCATCATTCACCTACACGTTCCATGGAGACCCTCATGTTGTGTTTGCTGAGTTCTTTGGAGGCCGGAATCCCTTTGATACCTTCTTCATGCAGAGGAATGGGGATGAAGACATGGACATTGATGACCCTTTTGTCACCTTCCAAATGGGAAATTTCAGCAATGCGGGTTTCCCCCGCACCCGAGGGGGCCACAACAGCCTTCGCCGGAAGCAGGACCCTCCCATCACGCATGACCTGAGGGTCTCCTTGGAGGAGGTCTACTCGGGCTGCACCAAGAAGATGAAGATTTCTCACAAACGTCTCAACCCGGATGGGAAGACGACACGCAATGAGGACAAGATCCTAACCATTGAGGTGAAACGGGGGTGGAAGGAAGGGACCAAGATCACATTCCCCAAGGAGGGTGACCAGACGCCCAACAACATTCCAGCCGACATTGTCTTTGTTCTAAAAGACAAGCCACACAGCATCTTCAAGAGGGATGGCTCGGACATCATCTTCCCAGCCAAGATCAGCCTCCGAGAGGTGAGTTGGGGGGTCTGGGTACAGGACTCACTGAAGTTCTAGCTTTGAGTCTGGGGTGTACAGACCTCTTGTTGAATTTCATGGTCTCTCTGACTTGTCTCTCTCTGCAGGCCCTGTGTGGCTGCACGGTGAACGTCCCAACGCTAGATGGCAGGACCATTCCCATGTCATTCAAAGACATCATCAAGCCTGGAGCGAAGCGCAGGATCACTGGGGAAGGTCTCCCATACCCCAAGAACCCAGACCAACGCGGGGATCTTATCATAGAGTTTGATGTGCGGTTCCCAGACAGAATCCCCCAGACATCCAAGAAAGCTCTGGAGCAGATCCTTCCCATCTAGTTCGTGCGATCTGTGGACCTGAGACCAAGACTGGCTGAACACCAAGGCCTGTGGGACCATAGCCTTGGGCTCCAGGCTGGGGCTCTGGGAACTTGGTTTCAGTGCCTTGACCCAGAACATTGCTTGAATCGCCTACACCAGTGAGCTGCTACATTTGGGAGGAGCCTACAGACACATTGCTGACAAATCATCTTGTAAGGATGTGACCAATGACTCAACCCACTGTCTACATCCTGGGCAGCCCTAAATAGGACAGCTGCCTTGCACTTCATCTCTTGCTGAGTTGGAATCCCTTCACCATGTAGGGGGTGGGGGGCATAAACTCCAAACTGGACATTCCTTACTGTTGTAGTCCTTGCTTTGTGTCTTGTGTTCCTTGTTAATTCACTGGAGAACTCTTATCCTGGGTCACTTGGATGTTCTTGGCTATGAATTCCCACCTCAGAGTCCTGCCTGCCTATTTTGTTTGCTGGAAGGTGGATATACTCTCGCTGAACTTAATTGTGGGGCTGTGAAAATAACCCTGGTAAACACTAGGGCTTAAATGTCTTGAAGATGAGATGAAATGAATAAGCCCTGGAGTTTAAACCAATAGCTAACCAGGCCTAGAAAAATAATGCACAGGGATTTCCTGGGTCTTAAACATAATCTGCTTTTTCAAATCTTTTTTCTGAAGAGACTTTCATAGATGCATCCCTCTACATTCTTGGGCTCAATTCCTGGTAGGGCAATGGGCTGAGCAAGTATTGCCTGGTTCTTGCGACTGCCAGCAGCAGTCTGACTCCTTTCCTTACTCACAGTTGCTGTCTTAAACCAGAGGATTTTGGCCAACCACTGAACTCTGGGGCATTTGAGGCCTTGGTCTCTGAGCTTGTTAACACCACCTTTGCTATCCTTTTTTTAATGAAAGGGTTCCTGCTCCTGGTACAGGAGCATTACAGCACTTCTTGTACATACTTTGTATAAAAGTTGTGTAAATTTGACATGTAATTAAAATGCAGGGGAGAGGCTGGTTTATTTTATAGGATTGTATCTGAATTAAAGACTCATAGGAGGAGCTGGTGAACTTCCCTTTTTTAAACATGCAGCACTGTTTGAAGTATGGCTGGACTGACAATTTTCAGTTACTAATGTGATAAGACCAAACTGGGGTCACAATTAAAGTCTTGGTGGCCAAAGACATGTGTGGCCTTATTTGGGGGAGAGGCATCTGTCCTGATGTGGGAAGCAATATTGAGTTGCACTTGTTAGACACTGAGGGGCTCAAAGTGGCCTTTCCCAGAGCTGCTGTTATTTTACTAAGGTGGGGTTCTTCATAGGCTAGATCCCAGCTGGGAAGGGTGGGGACAGTGGGTGTAGGGCTAAGATTAGGTGAAGCAACTGCAACATAGATCCCTGCCCTGCGTGGAACAAAAGATATGCAGGTGCCAGCTTAAAAGAGCTAAGACCTATGCTCACCCAGCTCTTCATTAAAGCCACTAGCAACTACTGGCCCTCATCCTGTGGGTGCAGCTTTTCCTGCTTGTTGGCCTGGCTTGCTCTACAGGGGTGTGCCCCTTGATGAATGAACAAGGGTGTGGTGAAAGCCCAGAGGCAGACGCATTCAGCCCCTGTTACTCCTTAGGAGAAGGATAGAGTAGGATTTCCTGTTGGCACAGGTAGCAATTACATGACACTCCCATGCAGAAGCAGGATCCTGCGTTTTCCCACCTGGTAGCTTCCCCTGGGTTGGGCCCTGGCCGGATCTACATGCTTTTCTCCGCAGCTGATGGGATCTCGGAGCCTAGGTCCCTGCCTTCTGGGCCCTGGCAGCTACAGCCAGACACCTGCATTCCGGGACAGGGACAGGCCGTGCTGCCTGCGCTCGACTATAAGACAATACGGGCCTCCTGCAGCCACCTCCCAGAAACTACGGGTCCGGGCGTGCCTCGAGGGAGCATTGTATGACGGGACTGGTAGTCCAGCGCTCGCGCCGATGTGGTTCAGTGCGTATGGTCCTACCAAAACCTGCGAGACCCCCGGGATGCACCTGGCTTGGCTGCCCACCGGACAGCATACCTGATTGGCTCGTTGTGGCCGGATCTGGTCTGCAATTGGCTGGGGCGTATCCAACTCCTCTGAATGGTCTCTCCCACGCACTCAGCAAATATTACCCCCCTCCCCCCCCC